TAACGCACGCTAGTCCGGTATACTGTTATGCCAATAAAGCGGCCGAGATGGAGCAGTACTCGCGCTGTCAATTATCTGGTTTTTAGTCGTCGAAACCCGCGTAGAGTCCTCAAAGAAGATGAAGCAGCACGTCGGCGGCTCGAGCATCGGATATCCCTTTTACGAGAGGCGGACAGGTCCGTTATTCATTCCTCGACTTGTACGATACCTACACGAAGTACCACCTTGCCGGAAGTAAGCGCCATTTCAGTCGCCGGCATTTGTTGTCATAAATTGTTAACCGCGCCATTACTCTCGCGCAGGACACGGTAAATAAAACAATGTTGCGGCTGTACAAATCAATTTCGAAATTTTACTGGCGTTTAGAGGGAGCCGGCGCTCCGAGAGAGGGAGGGTAGTCGCCGATACCACTCGCTCGCGCCGCGTACTTCGTTACGCCCCTATATAAATTGAAAGGTCCGAGTCGCGCAATCGCGAATCAATTCCCGCTCCTTCGCCCGTATGTAGACACGCGTGTGTGCACGCACGTACGCACGCATGCCGACGGTTATCGAACCGCGGGGATTTGCATAATGCGCAATGCGAGACGCGCGATCAAATTAGCTGCACGTGCCGCGTCGAGCAGCGCTAAAACGCCCGTGTAGAATCGCTCTGTATGCAGATTCGAGCCGGCGCCGATCTATCGGCCGGAAAGTCGGTCGATCCCGACTAGCTTCCAATCTGATTAGCGAACGCGAGTAACCGGGACACGGCATCCACGACGCGAACTTCGCCCACGGTCTCCTTGCCCGGCGCGGTGTATAAGGAGTTTGTTCCCAGGTGAAGGTAATCATATTCCGCGTTCCACGGTAATGGTGAACGAACGCAGCCTCCGGGCTGTAACGGAACCTCTGCCACCAGCACCCCGGCCCGTCGGACCCGTGGGTGCATCTAGCTGCACCTATACCCTCCGAGCCAAACTCCTATGTTGCCGCAATTATCGCACGACCGGCTGTTATCTCTCGGCAAGCAATGGCTCCCCGATCGTTATCGTTACCATCTTGTTTCCAAGCGCGGACAGGGCGGGCTAGCCTTTGAACCCGACCTGACCCCGTGACGCGACCGGTTGGCAACGCGGCGCGAATGCTAATAACAATTAATTCGCTGCTATCCACAATTCAATGAAGTTCGCGATTGGCTGGAAAGCGCGAACCCGTTGCGCTCGCGGCAGCTCGATCGTGGCCGCCGTTGTTGAGCCGACGAAATGCCTACCCTCGGCAAACAACGTCGGAGCAGAGGTAATTCGCCCGCGCGTTAGTCGCTCGCCGGATAATCGCGGGATGGACGTTAATTAGTGGATTAATTAGAGCGGAGGTGTACACGCGCCGGCGGATTCATACACGCTCCGAGTTTCGTCCTCGTAATTTATCGTGAACGCGAAAGTAAAATCGCCGCTCCTCTGCCTCGGAGAGAACGCCGCACACTCGCGTCGCCGTTTTTCGACACGCCTCGTAAACCGTCTTCGACAGTGCCTCGGCGCATCGATTCATAGTGCACGCGCTAGAAACCGGAAGAAGTCGGCGACCATTACGACCGGATTGAACGCAAATCACCTCGCAGCTGCAGTACCGCGACCGCTCGTGCTCGCTCGGTGCAAGGCTCATTTGAAAAGAGTCAAAAGGCACGTTGGCCATAAATTACACGTTCTTCGAAATACTATTACATAACCCTTGGAACTTGAAGTTCATGGGAGTTATATCATTTTCAACGGGCGATCGCCGTAAGTAAAATGGATCCACAAACGCGCAAAGTGCAGTCCGCAACACGTCCGGAGAAAATTGAGGAAAATAAAAAAAAGACGAGGATACGCTGTTATTTCCGAGTTGAGCGTGTGCACAGAGATCGTTGTGAAAAGAGCGTTCGGTCAGCAAGACCGCGCGACGGCTTTCGAAACTAAACCTCGGCGCGTTTCGTCTCGTATGTAACCGCCGTAAATCATAATTGGCGGCTCGGAGAGGAGCGGAGGTCCCGTTACGAGCGGGCGCTCGAGCCGTGCGCGAGTCGAGAAGATCCGGGGGGGCTTTTTCGCACTTGCGTACGTGGCGCATGTGTACATACGGTGTGCGATCGATGCTCGCGCGTGCTCCAACCGGAAGATGTCATCGCCGGCAATTACGGCCGGATCGAAAGGCAAATTATCTGCGACAAACGTGCCGCGTGCAGGCCGGACGCGGTGCCGTCGCAGCCGCCTGCAACGATGCACTCGGGTGCACGTCGCGCTTTGTAAACGCGCGCACCGAAGACACGGTGCCTTCCGTTGCGGCGCGGCCGTACTGAGAGCGCAAGTGGAATTAGTCTCGGTTCGACGGACGCGCCTACTACTCGCTCCTGACGAGCAAGATAGAAAGTAACGCACCTCGCGACGAATCAGGGTGAATCGACGAGAATGCCGATTGGGACAGAGAGCTCCGCCGGGAATGGCCCATGGATATTTTCATTCACCACGCGTCATTCCGCACGGGTGTGTCGTCGTTTCTGGGTTGTGAACGCGGCCCGCGTGTCGTATACGCGCGCACACGTGGAACGTGATACGAGGGCGATTCGAGAGTGCCGCAGGTGTCCTCGGAAGAATCTACCTGTGGGCATGAATCTGAAGAGAGAGAGGAAAATTCATTCATAATCGGGAATATGATTTTTCAGCTCTCTCTCTCTCTCTCTCTCTCTCTCTTAATAAACTCTGCTCTACTCTCTATCAGGTCACGTTTCACTCGTTTGGTAAAGTGTCGTTAAAGAATCGTGGAAACCGCAACAACCCGCGGATTATCGCGAACGAGTCTGATTTCAACGCGCGCATTTCACTTGGAAAACTCGCAGAGGGAGCGCCTCCGGAACATTTTCCGCGATATTCGCAATTCGACTCGCGAATGGCTATTCGGAGAGGCGCGCTCGGCGGTATGCGCTCGTACCCATTCACCGAATTCCCCCGTTCAATGAGCCGTACCGTGAATACGCAATGACGTAAGGCGGGCCGGCTGCTTCGCGAGAGTCCCGGCATTGCGGACGTTCGCGCGTCTCGCCGCGCGGAAATATCTTGCCGGACTTATCCATTGGCGCGAGATTCATTACGATCGGCCGGGATGTAATTTACTGCGCGGCTAGCATGAAACGGACGTCGTTAACGAGCGAGCGCGAGTTTAGGTGTCGCGACTCTCGCATTGCTTCTTCTTCTTCTTCCTTCTCCTCTTCCTCCGCCTCTTGCTTCGCCTCTGCCTCCTACTTCTCTCGCGACTACAATGAGCTGCCGGTGGATGCCGCGAGGGAAGTGAGCGGCAGAGGAGGAACATACGTAGGGGAAAAGATGAAGTCGACAGGTAGAAGAGAAACTACCTACGCTCTTTTATCTCGGTACCGCTTTGTATTAGGCCGCTGTCGCGCGGCTGGTATGCGCCGCCGGCTTCGCCAAAGTCCTCCTTTCCTTCCTGCGCGGAGATTCTTCTTATTTTTCCTCCTCCTTCTCTTCCTCCTCCTTCTCTATCGCGTCTACCGGCGTCAACGCTTCTAAGTAATTTCTTTCGGTCAAGAACCCGAAGATACGATCGTCGTCTTCCTCCTCCATCTTCCCCTTTCGCGCGTTGCCTCCGGAACGAAGGGACTCGATTTTACAGCGCTCCTTCGAAAATGATGTTCTTATTATATACTTGTTATATACGAATAATATTTTGCCGCTCACTGCCTTCCACGCGGTCTTTCGCCTTATCGGGCGAGCGAGGTCTGAACCGTCGCGCCGGTCGCCACGAACGGAGGAGGAGGAGGAAGAGAGGAGGTTGAGCGCTCGGCGGGCTCGTGCAAACACGCGTACTCATTCCCACGCACCCACGCCTTTCAACCGGCTCCAGGTAGACCGACGAATCACATTGTCGGCGCGACGCGGACGCGATGTCAAATGTTTTCGCGCGTCGCCATTTTCGCGCCTCTGACATTGCGATTCTTGCGCGTGATACTTATTGGCCGATACTACCGACGCCTATTAACTATGGCCGGAGATTCCCAATCGGTTCTCTGCATTTTTCTTTCTCCTAAATCGTAACTCACTGGCTTGGACGTGGTTGTAAACGGTGTATAGACGGTGATAGACAATTCCGTTAACCGAGATGAACGTTGACCGACACGTTGGTTGGGGTCAGTCCTTATTTGCGAACGAGATCGGTTCGCGTGTCGTACTATTGGTTCGCCCGAGAAAGAACCGCTCGGTCAAAACGCGAAGGTGCGTCTGGCTCGCTTCCAACCGCGGCTACTGCCCGTCCAACTGTCATTCTGTCGGATCAGGCGGAGAGAGAAGGAAAGATAGAAGGATAGAAAGAGAGAGAGAGGGAGAGAGCGAGCGACACAGTTACCGTAGAACGCCACGTGACGAGATAGATACGGCTATAAGCCCCGGCACGTTGGAATTGATAAGCGTACAATGGCTCATTATACTTTCGCGTGTACGCAGATGACGCGTCAGTTGCGTGAAAAAATTCGCAAAGCTGTCTGAGCAGACAGCTTTATCCCCGGTTGAACAATCCGGAGCAATCGCATTTGTGACGTAATACAGATCTGATCGGTGTAAACCGCTGTTCATGCTCGTATTTGCGTAGGAACACCTTAATGTCACGTCCACCTGATATCTAATTTGTCCCTCTAATAGTGACAAACAATCGATTGAGGTAGCTTCAGCCTGGACTAAATGCAGATAAAGATACTTTTAACCCTTTGGGACCTAATTTTTTTCTTTTTCCTTTGATAACTATTCTGGACAATTTGTACTGAAGGGTTAAAGGATCATTCCGCGACACACAATGTTGTTTAAACGAATTTTCCTTCTGTGATCTGAAGAGTGCGATCCAATCCGAACTTTCTAGGTCGGATTAGGTTTCATTCTGATTCTAGAGAGAGATTTTCTAAGTTTGTGTTTGCGGGGATAATACAAGCTGACGAAAGCATCATTTACGTGTTACAGGGTACGGAAGAAGAGTGCCGACATGTCGGCGTTGAGCGCCGCGCTTTGTAGACGCGGGATAATCCTCTGGCTGGCCGTTCTACTGGCGTCACGATCCACGCATTCTGGTGAGTTTTTGCGAGGAATGCTTCTCTCGGTGCGCTTCTATCTCCCTTTCTTTCGTCCGGCTTCAACGCCTCGGACACGCTTGAGCCGTCGTACAAAACGTGAGTCATTTATTTGATAGAGAGACCGTGAACGCGGACTCCCACGAGGAAATTGTCGGCAGACGGGCAAGAAACATTTTCCCTGCTCGGGGACGCGATCGAGGGATTATTCCAGCCCGCGGCTCGGCCTGGAAACCGGATCATATTCCATTATAAATTGCCGCGAGATACACTCGTAAAAATCGTTTTTCTATCCGCCGACGTAGTGTTTATACTCCTCTTGCACTTGCCGGAGCGCCGAGAAGTTGAATATCGCGGCAATAAAGAGCGAGGAAAGTAAGAGTAATCCCTCGACGCGAACGAGAGAAGCCTTACCACGAGTCCGACGTGTATTTCGCCGTGTTTACGATAGAATCTAGTTTCTCGGCGGGCAGAAGAAGACCGATTCTATCAAGGGGAGAGACTCCCGGAGCGAATCCGCTCGTCGTAGAGTCAAGCTCCACGGTGATTTTTGCGAAATTACAAAGGACGCGGATCGCGAAATTAGCCTCGACGGCGAGCGTGAATGGCCGAGCGTACGGTGCCGTGAATCGAAATTAATTTCTGAAAATCAGAGTCCCGCCGACGTGTACACTTCCGCAATCGTCTTTCTTGTATACCGTCTGGTGTGACTAACGCAGTCGGCCAGCCGGCCGGCTGGCCAATGTTTGAATGAGCGTGCCACGTTCTGTCAGGACGTCGAACCTATCCGTGTGTCTCCCTTCCTCGCGGCGTCGGGGAGAGCATTACCTCATAATGCTCACCTCTGGCACTGGTCGGGGCCCAAGGTGCTTTCCCATGGACCCGGCACACCATATTCGTTCTACGACCACTCTCGGGTCGCCTTCGGGCGGCCGCCTCCTTCTATCGCGAGCCTCGTTCCGCGAAGTATCGCGCGAGCTTTTTCCCCTCTACGTCGAGCAGGTTCCGAGCGGTATTGCCGGACGTATCGAGCGGAATAAGGCGATCCCCTTGAAATCAGTACAGAATCGTGTCGGTCGAAGCGCGTCGCGTATTGCGGGTGAGCTTCTGTCTCGCGAAGCCGTGAAACGAGATGATCGGGATAGAAAAAGGAGCTGTCACTCCCGTAATTCGAGAGAGTAATTCCCCGTGTTGTTGCGGTCGAGAGCGAGGAAGCGGAAAAGGGACGATCCTGTTTCGCGAAGGTGCGCACGACGATCGGATCGATCGATCGACCGGCCGGATCGGAGCGTCGATCGAGCGAGGAGCGTTCTCGGAAAAGCATGATACTACGAACACGACGACGTGCAAAAACGTTGCATCGTCAATGAAGGCTTATTGAGGATGCGTCAGTTTTGCTTCTCCCCTTCATCAATTGGCCGTCGGTGCTTCAGCGAAGAGCAGGTGTGGTTAAACGGACGGGATCGATTGAATTCCGCGACTCACCCAGCGTGTCTTCCNTTTTTTCCCCCCCCCCCCCCCTCCCTGGGAGAATCTCTAGGCGATTCTGCGACTCTCTCTTTCTCGTGGGCGCGCTAGCGCGAGCGCTTCCTTTTTGCTCCGGCTTTTCTCGGCCAGCAAGGACGATGGAGATCGACGCGCTCGATCACCGGCGATCCATCAGACGGACAAGTTTTACTGGATTATGTATCTTCCTCGGGACAGTGGGCATTCGCGGGACGTGCTCGCATTCAAAGGAAATCAGAAACATCGCCGACTTCGATACAAGTACAACAGGTTCTCGGCGTAAAAAGTTCTCAGCCGGCGCGTTGTGTGTACCGCCGCGCGCTGTATCAGTGACTTTCCTCTCGGTTCTGTTGTTTCGAGATTATCGGAATCATGATGTATCGGATTGCATTACGCCGGGAAATTACGAGCGACGCGCTCGGCCCCGGTCGCGATTTCTCCCGTTGCCCACATCAGATTGCTAGGTGTTCGCGCGCGATCGCGATGTCGTTATTATACCCGGCCGGAAATACGGCGGAGTATCACACGCCGTATGTACCCCGGCGAGATATAAATAATCGTTATCACTGGGATTCCCAGGCGATCGCTTAGCGGCCGCGGGACGCGGCCTCGGTGGACGTTTCGTCCGTATACGTAGAGCCCCGCGAGTTCCGTTAATTCCCGCATCTCTCCTCGAGAGTCCGTACAAATCGTCCCTTACGTCAGCGTCGAGAAAAAAAAAGAAGATAAAAGAAACACGACACGAAGATTGATTTCCTTCGTACGCGGAGGTCCCGATTTCGGAGTCTCCCTCCCCGCGACCTACCCACCTACCTCCCCCGGAAGTGATCTACAGCTGAAGTCCGCGGGGAAAGAAAGAAAAAGAGAGAGAGAGAGAGAGAGAGACAGAAAAAAGAAACCACGTCAGGCACACAGCTGCTCGCGTAGCGGTTCCTCGGCTGCATCCACGCGATGCCGTGAATTCTGGTCAAACCTGTAAGCCCTGAAGAGTCAGAGTCGGTGTGCCCGATGGGATGTCACTGACCGCGTACCTCACCGTTCGCCACTTACGGTCCACGTCGCCGCACCTGACCCCCGAGGCGTTCCATATTTATGCTTAATGCCGGTAAAGTGTCGTTATCGTCAGGCATCATCAAACCCCGACTCGTACTCGCAGCGAGCCCGTCGGAGACGACGCAGGGGAATCCGGAGGAGCGCGCACCGCTGCGTGCACGCGCGCCGCACGGAGCGCATAAAAACGCGTCGAGATATATGTGACGTGGGGTCGCGTACAGTTACGCGCGTATTAAACGTGTTCGAACGTACCCCGCGAGAGACGTAATTGTACGCGCGTCGATCCATAAATCTACGCGCGCATGGGGGAATTTTCGGTACGTCCGCTGAATTATTCCGGGGGCTCCCTTCAACGGCGAAAAACGCGAGCCCGCGAATTCATGTTAACCACGTGCGAGTCCTTTTTCTTTCGCGCTTCACCCGTGAATTCGTCGCGAGGACCGGCACGGGAGCGTGTGTCTCGTAGACAATGAGGGTCTTGAGCTGACTCGACCTAATGCGTTTTTGATAGCGAACGCGAATAAGTCCCGAGTCGCGAATCCAGACGTGGCAGAGCTCTCGCGAAGTAAGAGGGTATAGAAAGGATCCGTTGTAACCGGTACGTCGTAAGAGGACTCCACTCCCTCGTCCTCGCGCGTACTCCACCGAGCTCTTCTCTCTCTCTCGTCTATACCTTCTTGACTACTTACCGAGATGGTGAGGTCAGCGGCGGTCATCCAACGAAGGGTATAACGGAACGCGTGGGTGCAACGTCAGCGTGACACGGATTAAAGTGGCCGCGTTAATCCGTTTTGGAAAATGGGTGTGTTCTCTCTTTCGCGAAGTACGATTTAGCCGATCGAGCTCGCGGAGCAAAGCGATCTCCGATTTCTTCGATCACGTGCCTCTCCGTTTCGCGCGGCAAATATGTCGACGGCCGTCGTCGCGCTCTTTTCTCTCGTCTCGCGATTCGATACGCCGTTACGCAATCGTTGACTAGCGTTCGAGGATTGTTCGACAGTTGCGCGACTCCATTTGTCTTCCGAGAACGCGCGTTAACATTCGGGAGCTACCGGCCTGCGGGGCTCCTAATCGTGTGCTTTTTACGACCTCTCCAGTGCTGAAACAGTGAAGAGCGATATCCGCGCGATTCATTACGATCACGCCTTAAAATTCGCTAAAAGTCTGCTAGCCTCACGTGCGAGCGCTCGGCGATGTGAATCGATTCAGGGATCTCGAGCGGCGCACTCCTTATCGGAAATGAACATTCCTCTCGTCCGGGAATTATTCTCATTACCGAACGTAACGGACTCGCCTCATAATGTAGGAAGTGGCAATGAACCTGATCCGTGATTGGGAGGATATAATTTATGATTGTCCACGAAAGGGGCACCGCGCTGGAAACACTACACAGCGTATTACGGCAGAACCGGTCGGCCGGGTTCGCCGCGGCGTTACATTCCCCGATATCCGTGACATTGACATTAACGGTCTCACCGATATAAACAGGCGGCTACTATTTTTCAGCCGGCTCGAGTAAAACACGAATTTATTTCGATAAGATTACGTAGCGAGCGGAAGATTGCGTAAGCCCGCTGCTCGAGCTCGGCGCTTCATCGCCGTCGTTGCCGTCCTCGAGATCTCGAGGCGGCTCCCCAGGTATCTCGCCGGAAAATCCCGACTTGTCACGCGCGCGCACCCAGGGATGAAATTATCCCGTCATCTTTTTCACGAGCGCGTGCGCGCTCGGTGAGCTGCGGCGCGACGGTGAAAACCGCGACCTTGGAGGATGCGTAATGCAGAATTTCGTGCACGCGATACGCCAGAGGCCGCGCCAGGTGTTCATCGGAGCGTGTGCGGTTGATGGTAATGAACTTTCGCGAGGCAAGGCCGCCGGGGATGATTTCATAACGCGCCGCGCAACAGCATCGTTCTCTTGCCCTCGCCCGCATTGCGAGGCTCTCGCGGTGTAACAGCATCGTTCGCGAGCGTACGGCCGCGGAGAAAGGGGACGCGGGTCAGGTCGAGACACATCGCGGCGGTGGAACCGAGAGGGACACCGCAGAGGGAACGAGACAATCGCGAGGAGGAACGACACGCGGAGAGGAAACGGGGAGGACTCGGCGGTACGTTGACTTACATAATGACTCCCCGCGACTTCTCGAGATATACATACATATACGTGTGTGTGTGTGTCTGTGTGCGCATATGTACACACGTACGTGCGATCCTCTGTCTTCGATTACGAGCAAGGCGGCCGAAGAACGTATAAATCTCGCGCGCGGAAATTATGTTCGAGAGAAGATGCGTTTATTGTTGATACCGATAAACTCCCACGTCGTCCTTTTTCCACGCGCTCAAGATTGATTTAGGGTCCGTTCCAGGTACACCTCGTGAGGTCTACCTCCTCGGCGCGCCTCGCACTGCCGATGCACTTCCGCGCGGCTTTGTACGGCGCGTTTTCTTCGAAAGCGCGTTTTTTAGCCGCCGCGCGGCGTTATCTCGAGTTGAGATTTATCGAGCAATCTCCTCGTTCAACTTCCTCCGAGAGGGGCAGCTCGCGATTTTCGATTCGCGCTGGCAGGAAAAACGAGCGTCGAAAACTGCGCGGATCGGCAATGTGGAGCGCGCGCGCGCGCGCGTTGATGGTCGCGCTTCATCACGACGCGATTCTCCGTTACCACAGTCGAAACGCATCGGTATCTTTTTTCCACGGCTCTCGTACGAGCTCAATGACCGTCCCGTTACATCTTCGACGGTAATTTATCGATCGCCGCTGGACCGGGAAGAAACTGAGGAAATGCTTGCTCGCAAGGCAAAAAGTGGTCATTCGGTTTTTGGTGCGTGTCGTCCGCAAAGTCAGTTTCGTCGTAAGAATTGACGAAGGAACGCGATTAGAGTTCTCGTTTATTCCGTAGGAGAAGGGGAGAAGAAGAGAGAGAAAGAGAGAGAGAGTGAGAGAGAAAGCAGAGTAGAGCGTAGGATAATAAACTTTACAGATATCCCCTAAGGTATTTAGTAAATAATGTCGGTTGGTATGTCAGTACAGAAAAACAAAACACGACGCAATAAAGTTATAATAAAGCAAGAGTAGCGATATACTAAATATTAAACAATAGTGAATACTATTTCAATATAGAAACGAAAACGCAATCAATATCATCCACAGCGTAACAACGAGAGAAGAAGCACTCGAGAAATTATTAAAAGAATAATTAAATTCTCTCAGTATGTAAGACGGTTACTTAGTACGGATACGTAAGTTTCTATATAATATTGCCATACTGAGAGAGAGAGAATCGCTGAATAGACGATTGCTTTCGAAACCGAGGCACTTTACCTGCGCGTAATTTCCCATCATATCGATCTTCCGTCCACCGACAATGCGCCGTCCATCTCATTACACGTTTAATTAGCGCGCGTACATGTCGCAGCACTCATTGAATAATCATAGCGCGAGGGCGTCGTAGTTAACGCTTTTGCACAAATAAAGACAACGTACAGAGGAAGAGAGAGATTACAATCGCGTTACGGAGCTTCAACACCTTGGCCGTGGCCTCCTCGTAGTAGGGAGGTGCGATGTAATAATTTAGTCCGGCCATTGTGCCGAGACAAGAATCGTCTCGGTAGGCCAGTGCATGCGTACGTGATGGGTCTGTGTAACGTGGAGGCACGCGGCTCGGGTCCCACTCGTGGGACTGACGAGACACGACCGAGGCTTCCATTCACCCGGAGCCCATCGTGGTTCCCAGTACAATTCGATTCGCTGGAAACCGCTTGCGCGCTCCGCGTCGCGGAATGCTAATTCTCGAATATCCTGCAGCTCGCTTCGATATACCGTAGAATGCATCGATGGACGGTGAGCTTGGCGCGGAAATGCGAATGCGCGATTCAGCTCGTGGGAGATTCGCCATTTTATCGATATTCTTATCGGGACGTATTTCGCAAAGTCGAAGTAATACAATTTCGTAAGTAGCCAGTAATGTGGTTGTTCCCCCGTTAAAAAAAAAAATCAAGCGACACTTTCTCATCCGTACTCTGCACACATTGCACGGATGTTCTCGCGCGCTGAAAAGCCGAGCGCAGCTGCGGGGGTGAGTTGGGGGATAGAGGAGAAGGCTTATTGTGCGAATTTCTAGAACGTCGCTGCGATTGTACCTCAGGAGGGCGTCCTGTCACGTTCCAGGAACAATCAAACCCGAGTCCTGCGCGCGACACTTCAATTTCTTTGATATCGCGAAAGCGCGTCGCGTAAGAAAAGGAGAATTATCGCTCGCTCGAGAAAGAGAAGGAGAGAGAACGAGGAGGTATTTTCACGTTGTACTTGCGCGAGCGTCCGCGCGGATCGCGCGCGGATCAGACGAGAGAGAGAAAGAGGAGCCGACGTGAATTCAGTATTCCGCTCGCGCTCGCCATACAATTCGTTCGTTCGACCGGGGCGAGGGTGTTAACGAGAATTCGCCCACGTGTGTTCGCGCCATATGACGCTTCCACTCGTTCCGCTCGTTGTTAAGCCCCGGTACACCCTCGAGAGACGAATGCGTCCCTCTGGTAATTACTATGATAAACTGCACGCGGGAGACGCATTGACGTCCCCTGCAAAATTCACCGGGCTTATTCGGCAATCTCGTTTTATGCTTTTCATTAACTTTAATTCCGCTCGTAGCGTACGCGCGCTCGTTCGTTCGTTCATTCGAGCGCACGTACCTTTCGACGCGCACGAACGTGCCGCTAAGAACCGTGTTTCTTTGATTGCAGCGCCGGTATACGATCAGGATACCACACAGGTCGCGGAGTACGATGGAGGTATGTATATCACGCCGGCTTTTACCGCGCCTAATCAATCGACGCGCTCGCGCGCGCCGGTAAACGTGACGCTAATCGTATCGTGGTACGAGAAGCCGCGCATGCCGTTCAACGATTATCGTTCGCCTCGTTTCACCGTGTTCAACCGTTGATCGCAAGATTCCCGAGCGTCACGAACAAATAACATCGCAAAATTAAACAGCTTTCGTTTGATCTCTTCCGCTTCGCGGTGCGGCAGGCACACCGCGTGAATGAAGATGGCGATTTTGCGCCGATCACGATACTCGTGCGATCTGACGCATTCATTAACGGTAAACCGTTCCTCCAGCTACCGCTGGATGTTACTTCAACTTCCAGCGTTACCAAGAAGGAGACAGGATCATCACGAGCGAACCCTGTCTGAATTGCACATGCCACAATCGAATGCTGATGTGTTACCTGAAGGTCTGCCCGTTCACCAAGGCGATCGGTCAGGATTGCACGGTGGAGAAGCGTCCGGATCAGTGTTGCCCGGTGATCACTTGTCCGGAAGTGCCGGTCCAACTGCTGACGTCGACGACGAGCTTGCCGGCAACCTCGGACTCCACCGAGCTCGGCTTCCACGATAATTACGGTTGCAATGTCGACGACAGATTTTATCCGGACGGCGCTCAGCTACCGGTGGACCATCACAATCCTTGCGAGCTCTGCTACTGCATCAGAAACAGAACCACCTGCGTCATGCAAGAGTGTACTTTACGAGTGGCGGGATGCAAACCGGTCTACCAACCGGGTGTATGCTGCCCGATCAAATACAATTGCGGTAAGTTTCGTTGACCCGCGCTGTCTCGTATCGACTGCGGCGTGGAAAAGCGCTCACACGACTGTTAAATATCCGTTTCAGAATACGACGAGGAACCCAGCACCACGGTTGGTCCGACACCGGGTCTCATCATGACCACGACGCTGCCTCCCGGTGTGTTGCCGCAATGCTTCCACAAGGGTAAGGTCTACGAGGACGGCGAGCTGATTTACTCGACTCAGCCGTGCCAGCATTGCTATTGCTTCCGAGGCGAGATCGCCTGCGCGGTGCAAAATTGCGGGACGCCGATGCAGGCGCACGGAAAGAATTGCACGGCTGTACCCCCGCCGGAAGGAGAATGCTGCCCGACTACGTATGAGTGTGGTGAGTAATTTGCGTAATAACTGACGATTGCGATGTAACATATGTAGCGCTCGGTGATCTCTAATAGAAGTTGTTAGCCGATGAGCATTGGGCATTAAAGGATGCACGTGCGCGCGCGTGTGTGTACGCTTATTACAGAGGAAGACGGGCAAGGTGGAATCATCACGCTACCAGAAGGCGAAGAACAACTTCCGGAGCAAGTACCGCACGACCTGCAAATCACCGAGTCGCCTATGCTAATCGATCAGGATCAGCAGGTGAAGACCGAACAGCCTCAGCAGGAATCATTCCCAGGTGCCGACAACGTTATACCGTACGATCACGGTCACGGCACGGAAGAAGAGGAGGGTGTTCAGGGAACTATCGAGCATGTCACGGAGGAACGGGTCCCGTCTACCGAAAAATCCGTGCAAGAAGAATCCTCAACGGTACCGGCGGTCGAGCATGCTGAAGCGGAAACTACTCCCTCTGAAAGGGAGTCTACGCCTCCTCAGGAACGTATCACTGAGCCTCCTGCCGTCGAGGAAGCATCGGAAGAAGCGGTGACAGAAGCTGAACTGCCTGCGGGAACGGCAGCCGCGGAAACGGAAGCGCCTGCGATCGCGCAGGAGGCTGAAGGTAGCGAAGCGCCCGCTGTTGAAGCTTCGTCCATCTCGGAAGGCTTGCAACCGGGCGAGGAAACGTTAATTACAGAACGCGCGCCTGAAGAACACGTGAGCACGGAAGAAAGCGCGCTCGAGAAGGAACACAGCACTCCCGCTATCGTCGAAGAAGTACAATCAACTGAACCTGCTATCAGCGAGGAGACGCAGACCGAAGGTGCGACGAAACCGGGACTGGAGGAGACCACAAGTCCACACGAGAGACTCCCAGCGCAGGTTTCAGAAGAAGTGACCGAGGCAGAACAGGTGACGGAAGAAGGACAAGTTAGTTCGTCGGAAATGCCGGAGAGACCAGAAATCTCGACCGAAGTCGCGGAGGAGGCGACATCCCCGATTGCAGAAGTTGAACAGCCCAGTGTTACAACTATTCCTGAATCCGTCAAAGAGTCGACGGAGGAAGGCGAAGGCAGGATACATCCAGCGGAAACCACACCAGGCGAAACTCTGGCGACGGAGACCGAATCGCCGGTAAAAGAAACGACCGCGACCGTAGCTCATGAGGCGTCCAGTACTGAACAAGCCGTTACCGAAAAAGAGGAAATATTGCATCCGACTGAAGCCATTGTTACAGAAGAGGCTCATTCGACCGAAGCGAGTCTGTCCGAGGAACAACCTGTCGAAGAAGAAGAAAAGCCAACAGCAGGTGAGGACGAAGGTGAGAAGGAGTACAAGCCAGAAGAGCCAACATCCGAGCATCCGGTAACCGAAGAACAACGTGTCACCGTTGGCGCCAAGAAAGAAGACTCTGGCTTGACTGAGAGACCAGCTGTAAGCGAGGAACCAGAAATCTCGGAGGAGCAAGAAGAGGAGAAATCAACTCCGGAAATTCCAGCTGAAGGTCCAACCGGCATCCCGATTCCCGAAAGAATGCCAGAACAGAAGGCGGAGGATAAGTATCACGTGACTGAGGGTTACGAGGACTTCACAGGTCCAGAAGTCATCCCCGATAATCTCGTGACCGAAGCTCCGCAGAAAATACCTACGTCACATCTCCCGCCAGAGACTACTTTGGCACCGTCGGAAGGAACCGTGAAACCCGTTGCGGAAGAAGGTACCGAAGCACCGGCGGAAGGAACCGTGAAGCCCGTTGCGGAAGAAGGTACCGAAGCACCGGCGGAAGGAACCGTGAAGCCCGTTGCGGAAGAAGGTACCGAAGCACCGGCGGAAGGAACCGTGAAGCCCGTTGCGGAAGAAGGTACCGAAGCACCGGCGGAAGGAACCGTGAAGCCCGTTGCGGAAGAAGGTACCGAAGCACCGGCGGAAGAAATCGTGAAGCCCGTTGCGGAAGAAGGTACCGAAGCACCGGCGGAAGAAATCGTGAAGCCCGTTGCAGAAGAAGGTACCGAAGCGCCAGCGGAAGGAGAAACCGCTAAACCGATTGTGGAGGAAGGCACTGAAGCACCAGCGGAAGGAGAAACCGCGAAACCGATAGTGGAGGAAGGTGTTGAAGTACCGGCGGAAGAGACGGCGAAACCAGAAGAAGCTAAAGAAGCACACCTACCGACGGAGAAAGAGCCTACTGCTACTGAAGCCGCTACAGTTTCTGAAGAACCTAAAGCGGAAAGCACTCCTGAAGCAGCTGAAGGTAGCACAGAGCCTTCTACAACTACAGTTACTCATGAAGGACACATTCCAGAAAAGCCTGGAGAGACTGAGAAACCTAGTGTGCCAGCGGAAATCGAAACTGAAACGCCGCAAACGGAAGTTCATTCAACGGAAAAAGCTCCTAGCGAAGAATTACCCATGAAAGGACTCACCATTGAAGAATCTGGCGAAAGTTCCGCTGAGGAAATCGGCGGCGATTTAGGTGAGAAGGAATCGCAACCAAAGAAAGAGGAGGAATCAAGCGAGGGAGAAAGAGAAGCACAGCCTCCATTAACGTCAACGGAAGCGGAAGCTGCACCTGAAACGCCTGCACCGATTCCAGCCGATCATGAACACTCGACAATGCCTTCGGATCTTAAAGAAGAACAAACAACGGAAGGTGTGCGAATTACTACGGTAGTCCCGTCTATCGAGCAATCGACGCCACAACCCGAAGAAGAGAAAGGAACCGAAGTTACCTCTGTCGAAGAAGAGAAAGGAACTGAAGCTGCTCCTGTCGAAGAAGAAAAATCGGTTACCAGCGAGAAATCCGGTGCGGAAGAATCTACCGCGACACCGGGCGTAACTGCCGAAGTAGAGAAGGAACCACAAACTGCAAAACCTGTTTCGGAAGAAGGAGAAATTACGGAAACGACCAAGGTAACTGAAGAGAGGCCTACAACGCAAGCACCCGCTGTCGAAGAAGAAAAGACTGAGCAACCTGAGCAACCTGAACAGTATTCTACGGAGGGAGGTTCAGAAGAAGGTGCCGTTACAGAAGGCCATGATGTACGGGAAACTGAGGCCCCTACCATCGGGAAGAAACCTGAAGAAACGGAAGGCACGGAAGGTGTACCTACCGAAGGTGCCGAGCAACAAACCGAAGCCGCGATAACTGAGGAAGAACCATCCGAAGGAACTGCGGGAGTGCAACCGACGGAGGCAACTGGTATCGAACAGACAGAATTGCCCGTTACCGCAGTGCATCCTTCCAAGAAACCAGAAGAAGAAGGTGAGGAGGAAGTCTCTGTTCCTGTATCAACGGAGGAGGTGCAGACGGAAGTTCCTATAGTTGAGACTGAGTACACTGAGACACTGGCAATGGAGAAGGAGACGGAGCAGACTGAACCTTCCGTCAGCAAAGAACATTTGCCAATTCAACCTTCGATTACAGATCGTAAGGAGGATCAAGAATCTGTCGAACCAAAACCAAGCGAAGGAGAGCAAGAAGGCGAAGAGCAAATGACTCAAGAGCCGCTCCTTGGAGAAAAAGAAGTAACGGAGATGCACGAGGAGCCGCAGAAACCGACAGGTCTTCCTGAAACAGAAGGAACTCACGTTCCACCCGAAGAAGAAGTTGTCACCGAACCTGCTTTACCAACCAGAAAACCGGTCGAAGGAGCCGATACAACGGTATCCGTTGGCGCAGAGGAAGCTGTTACGTTACCGGCCTCGAGCGAGCAACCTGAAATAGCCAGCGAGCAACCAAAAGAAATTACAACACAACCATCCGAAGAAGAGAAACTGACTCAAGAACCAGTCATTGAAGAACAGCCTGAATTGCACATGAGAAAAGAGACCGAAACACTCAGCCCGGTTATTCCTGAGGAACCCACCAGCGTGACTCCTGAAAGTCCGCCTGTGGAGGAGGAAGGTGTAGGTGTCAGTGAATCAACCGAAGGCGCAACGAGCGAAGGTACCATCAAACCAGAATTAATTTCTGAGACACCCGAAATCGTCGAAGAACATACAGAGCAAGGAAGTGAAGCTCCTGGACAAGAAATCGTGACCGAAACTATACCTTCGGAAGAAGAGAAACACGAGCAAGTTACACAGCCACCAATGACGCAAGAGAAACCAACTGAAGAAGTAGGTGAAGGTATATCTGTCGAGATATCTACGGAGGAAGCCGCAATTACGGAAACACCTAAAATACCCGAAGAACACTCAGAGAAACCCGAAGAACAGCCAGAAAAACCCGAAGAACAACCAGAGGAACTCGAAGAACGGCCGGAGATACCCGAAGAACGTCCAGAGAAACCCGAAGAAAAACCAGAGAAACCCGAAGAACAGCCAGAGAAACCCGAAGAACAACCAGAAAAACCCGAAGAACAACCAGAGAAACCCGAAGAACGGCCCGAGGAACCCGAAAAACGGCCCGAGAAACCCGAAGAACAGACCGAGAAACCCGAAGAACAACCTGAGAAGCCCGAAGAACACCCAGAGAAACCCGAAGAACATCCAGAGAAACCCGAAGAACAGCCAGAGAAACCCGAAGAACAGCCAGAGAAACCCGAAGAACAGCCAGAGAAACCCGAAGAACAGCCAGAGAAACCCGAAGAACGGCCCGAGAAACCCGAAGAACGGCCCGAGAAATCCGAAGAACGGCCCGAGAAACCCGAAGAACGGCCCGAGAAACCCGAAGAACAGCCCGAGAAACCCGAAGAACAGCCCGAGAAACCCGAAGAGGAAGGTATAGAAACAACGGCGGCGACGCCAGCTCGGGAGTATGAGGAATACTCGACGGTCGCTCCGGAAGAAGAAATACCTGTAGTGAAAATCACTACTGAAGCGCCTACGAAAGAAGAACCTCAATATTCGACGGAGCACCCAACGAGCGTTCCCGAAGAGACTCCCATAGAAGAAGAGACCACATCGGAGATTGCTCCTCGTCCGTCGGGTATTCCAGGAGAAGGTAACTGTCTTGTCGAGGGACAATCTTACAACAACAATTCGGCCGTTCCACCGGCGAACGACTGTCAAATCAGTTGTCGCTGCGTCAGCAGCATCGTGGAATGCGAGCTCGTGGAATGTCCTCCACCACCGACGCATCTCATAAACTGCACGCCGGTTCGCATGGGCGGAGGATCATGTTGTCCGATCTACGCATGCGGTTCGCCTGTTCCGACTGATGAATTAAAATCCGATAGTCATATGGTGGAACCTCACGCTCCTGAGATGGAAAAAGAAGAAGGCCAGAAGACTCTCCCGCCGGCAGAAGTGACGACGGAGCAAACTGTTGCGGAGGTTACCGAAGCGGTAAAAGTAGCTAGTACGGTAGCTGGTGAAATCAGTACGCCGGAATCTCAGCCTGCAGAAGTCACTTTATCTTCTGTTTCTCAACCGGAAGAAGAGGCGACTGAAAAGCAGCAAATGACTGTCAAGTCTGTCGAGCCAGCTTATGAAGAACCGACTACAGTCGGACAAACTGTTGAAGAACAGCCTGAAGAGCAAACCGTTAGTCCTGTACCCGAGAAACCAGAGGAATCTACTCAGTTTATCGAGGAGGAAGAACATACTGAAGCGGAAGGTGTCTCGGAGGAAACTACCGAAAGCAAGGTTACCGGAGAGGAAGAAGAAATAACAAAACCAGCAATTTCGACCGAACAACCGCAAGAAGAGACTGTTGAAGAGCAAACTCCTGTTAGCGGCGAAGAAGAGCAAGTGATCACTTCTACACATGCACCTGTTGAACAGGAACCTCATGGTGCTAAGGAAGAAATTTCAACTTCTCACAAGGAGGAAGAAATTACCATTCCTACCGTGACAGAAGAAGAGAAAGAAACTTCTGGTCCTGCTGAAATAGAAGTTTCGACATCTGCTGAAGGAGAACAAGAAGTCACGACTGTTCCTGCTGGTAAAGAAGAAGAAATTACTATACCGACCAAAGAAAAAGAAAGGCCCACCGAAGAAGAAGGTATCGAAGGACAAGCTACGCTCAAGCCGATCGAAGAAACCGAAAAAGAGCAACCAGAAGAAGAGAAAGTTCACCCAACTTCTGAGGAACCAATTTCTGGTATCACCGAAGAGCACGAGACATCTACAAAACCGGAAGAAGCAGCTATTGTAACGGAAGAACAGCCAACGAAACTGGGAGTTCCTGAGGAAGAAAAGACAATCGAGCCAACTGAATATGAGAGTACTTCTATGCCTGAAATTTCGCCGACAACGGAACGTAAGCCCGAGGAAGAGCCTAAGTCCGAGGAAGAGGAAAAGAAGGAAGAAACTGTCACGTCAACTGAAGGTGAACAAGTTGCTCATACTGAGGAACCTGAAAGTCAAACGAAATTGCCCATCGGTGAGACAGAAACACAAAAACCGACCGCACCTGCTGCCGAATCGACGACTTTGGTACACGATCATACAGCAACCGAAGGTACGCCGATAGAGGAACACGTGACTGTACAAGTTTCTGTGGAAACTCCCACGGAGGAAAGTAAAGAGGAAACGGAATCAGAAGTTTTAACTGAAGCTCCTGTGACCGAAGAGGAGCACATTACCGTTCCTACGTCACCTGTTGAGGCAGAAACTCCTGGTGGTGTAACGACTGAACAGGAAGGAACAGAAAAGCCTAGCGAGGAAACCGCCAAGCCAACTGAGGAAACTGCCAAACCAACTGAGGAATCTATTCCTGGAGTTTCTCCTGAGGAGACATCGCTGAAGTCAGTTGAACCGACGGAAAGCACGACTGGAGTAGAAACTACGGAGCATGTTGAAGAGTCTACGGAACATGAAGGAGAGCCATTCGTCACGAAATTGCCAGAAGAAAAACCATTGGAACCAGTATCTCCAGAGGTCAGTACGGAACAACCAATGAAAACTACCAAAGTTGAGGAAGCCACCGAAGCGGAAGCAGAACACGAAAAACCCACTGAGCCTAGTATCGTTCATGAGCCGGAAAGTACACAGGTCCCGACCAAAGAGTATCCAGAAGTCACACCTGAAACCGAATCTCATACGACTGAATCACCCGCTGAAGAGCATACAGTAACTGAAGAGGTGCAAACGATAGCTGTACCTGTACAAGAGGAAGCTGGTGAACAACCTGTCACACCGATCGTAAAGGAAACTTCTGAGCCAAGTCTGAGCGAAACGGAAACTGAACAACCTGTTTCTCCCGAAGTTCCCCAACCCGAAACTCCGACTGAAGAAGAGGAACATATCACTGTTTCGATCGAAGAGCACACTCCGACACCGGAGGAACGTCCTGCGGAAGAACAGACTGTTGCCTCTCCCACTCCCAGTGAAGGTGAGACGTCGGAAGCTGGCGTTACGGTAGAAGAAGCCACGCCGGAAAGTGTGACGAGTCAAATAGAGCAAGTGATCGAGAAGACTGCTGAAAGTGCCAAGCCAGAAACAGAGTTGCCCAGTTTACCGGAGGAACAAACTGCGGCTCCTGAAGTTGAGAAAGAAGTTGGTGAGGAAGAGCAAAAGCCTGAAATTGGAACAACGGAAGAAACGAGTAAGGAAGAAGAAACGATCACGGAAGAAGCGGGTAAGGAAAAAACAACGGAAGAACCTGTAACTCACGCTGGTACGACGGAGCAGCCTTCTGTGGAGCAAGAAATAACAATACCGTCTGAAGTACCGGGCGTAAAAGTTCAAATACCAGAGGAATCCGAGGTAACAATTCTTCCGCAGAAACCCGAGGAGGAAGCTCAAGTTACGAGTGAGCCGGAACATCCAGTGAGTGAAGAAGCGACAATTGCGGCAAGTTTGGCACCTGAGGAACACTCGACCGTACCGGCAGAAACAGAAGAGAAAGAAGGTACTCACGAGCCTGAGCGCGAGACAACGTTGTCTATTCTAGAAGAGGAGGTATCGAAACCAGCTACCGAAGCTAGCGAAGTGGAAAAACTTCCATCGGAAAGTCCCGAAGGAGAATCCGTTGCAACTGAGAGTGCAACGCAGGAACCAGAGATACCTGTCACGAGAACTTCCGTTGAAGTAAGCTATCCCGAACAGCCCGAAGAGATTTCACCCGAAACGGAAGAGCCAATTAAACCAGTACAAGAAACGGAAAGGCCCGAGGAGCAACAAATTGAAATTACCACGAAAGCAACCGAAGCCGCTGTGACTGAAGAAAAATTACCGGGAGAAGAGGTATCGCACATTCCAGAAGCTGAAGAGAAACCAACGGGAGCTCCTTCGACAGAGAGTGAAGAAGAACACGAAGCACATTCAACTGAGCCTTCTCATCCAATTGAAACGACTTCGGAACATGAGGAAGAAGAACCGTCGGTAACGAAACTGCAGCCTACTGAAGGTCCTCTTCCTTCCGAAGAGGAAACCGTGACACCGGAAGAACCGCGGCCTACCTTGCCTGAGGAAGGTGAAAAGGCTCAACCTGAGGAACACACATCGGAAACGCCGTTAGAACCAGAAGAACATACGCCGGAAACGCCAGTAGAACTAGAGGAACATACACCGAAAACGCCAGTAGAACCAGAGGAACACACGCCGGAAACGCCGGTAGAACCAGAAGAACATACGCCGGAAACGCCAGTAGAACTAGAGGAACATACACCGAAAACGCCAGTAGAACCAGAGGAACACACGCCGGAAACGCCGGTAGAACCAGAAGAACATACGCCGGAAACGCCAGTAGAACTAGAGGAACATACACCGAAAACGCCAGTAGAACCAGAGGAACACACGCCGGAAACGCCGGTAGAACCAGAAGAACATACGCCGGAAACGCCAGTAGAACTAGAGGAACATACACCGAAAACGCCAGTAGAACCAGAGGAACACACGCCGGAAACGCCGGTAGAACCAGAAGAACATACGCCGGAAACGCCAGTAGAACTAGAGGAACATACACCGAAAACGCCAGTAGAACCAGAGGAACACACGCCGGAAACGCCGGTAGAACCAGAAGAACATACGCCGGAAACGCCAGTAGAACTAGAGGAACATACACCGAAAACGCCAGTAGAACCAGAGGAACACACGCCGGAAACGCCGGTAGAACCAGAAGAACATACGCCGGAAACGCCAGTAGAACTAGAGGAACATACACCGAAAACGCCAGTAGAACCAGAGGAACACACGCCGGAAACGCCGGTAGAACTAGAGGAACACACGCCGGAAACGCCGGCAGAACCAGAGGAACACACGCCGGAAACGCCGGTAGAACCAGAGGAACACACGCCGGAAACGCCGGCAGAATCAGAGGAACACACGCCGGAAACGCCGGTAGAACCAGAGGAACACACGCCGGAAACGCCGGTAAAATCAGAGGAACACACGCCGGAAACGCCGGAAGAACCAGAGGAACACACGCCGGAAACGCCGGTAGAACCAGAGGAACACACGCCGGAAACGCCGGTAGAACCAGAGGAACATCCGGAAACTGAGCAAACCTCGGAAGCTATCGTACCAACGGAAGAATATCCAATCAAGGTTTCCGATGTTCCATCCGAACTACCCGAAGAAAAGATTACCGTTGGTCCGATACCCGAAGAACCGGAACCTGAAGCTCCGACGAGCCCCGAGGAAGCTCCGCACTCGACGGAAACGCCGATCGAGGAGCACACCACGAAAACGCAGCCGATACCCACGGAATTACCAACGGTGGAGGTCACGGAAGAACTTCCCGAGGAAGGTGAAGAGGTTGGTCAGCCGCAGATTGGTCACTTCCCGGCCACCTTGAAACCGGAGACCGACGAATCCGCAGAGGGTGAACTGACGCTCGGACCTGACGAGGGACATCTGCGACCGGTTAATCACACCGCTGAAGTGACCGAGCGCCCGTATCAACCTAGCTTCCACGAGCGACCGTCTAGCACCTTGGCGCCTCATCTTCCAGAATATCCCGACCAATCTGTGTCTGGCGAGGACGGTTCTCACTTCCCTATGCCAGGTGGCGGCAGTTACCTGAACCCTGACGAGGACTACGAAGAGGACGACCAGACGGTCTTCGGACCGGGCACCTGTCGATACGGCGGCAAGGTCTACGTCTCGGCGCAACAGATACCCAGGGACGACCCGTGCGACTTCTGCTTCTGCTTCAGAAGCGACATCATTTGCCTCCAGCAGAGCTGCCCACCGCCGATCCCGGGCTGCCACGAGGAACCGATCAGTGGTTTCTGTTGCCCGAGATACGAGTGTCCCGTGTCGATGGCCACGGCTTTGAATTTGACCACCACTACCACCACGACTACCACCACGCTACCGCCGCTTTTCCACCATCAGGCTTACAAAGGCGCCGCGAGACGAAGCGGCTGCCAGATTCGTGGGCAAGCTTATCGGGTAGGAGATGTCATTAAGTCAGCGTCTGGACCTTGCCGCAATTGCACGTAAGTCTACCGACTATGAAATATTTCTCTCCGCAATATATACATCATTTCTTATACCGATTGTTACCTTTAATTGAATTTTCATTGCCTCGGTGTAGAATAAAAATAATGAGAATTATTTTAAATTTCCAGTTGCGAAGGTGACGGCAATATGAAGTGCGAGCCGATAATGTGCAGTCCGGAACCGACGCTGAGGCAAATAATGGCTACGGTGAAGACAAGCGCGATTACAGCCAAGAGGAGGAGATGAGCCGCCGAGCTGGGTCGCGGGATTCGTCTCTACCAAGAAACATATACGAGAAGGAAGTCGACAGCAGGATTCAGTGTTGTATAAAAGTGAATTAAAATTATTCTAAACTACCTAGACGTCGCGGAACACAGACAATAGTGTGCTTCGGCGATCACGAACTGAGTGGCCAAAACGTAAACGTTTATATTAATAATATTATATTATGTTATATAAAAAGAGAGAAAGAGAGCGAAAGAAAGAGAGAGAGAGAGAGAGAGAGAGATAAACGACGGAGAAAATGGCAATGAAAATCCAGTTGGAAAATCATAGGGGATTAACTGCGTATCGAGGCGCATTATCGGTGCTAATACGCTATAACACGGAAAGAGGAAGCGAAGTAGCGCGGACGTAGAAGATGTAATTTCGTTGGTGATAATTCCGCGCTCTATCTCGCAGAGTATTTCATACTCCCTGGAGAGGAAAAGAAACGAAAGGAAGAGAAAGAGGAAGAGAAAGAGAGAAGGAAAAAAAAATTACTGAACGTACGAGACTTATGACTGTGCCTTCGTCAGTGTCGAGTATCAGCGGCACTACTTTCGTTTCGGCAACGAGCGCCGTCCGCAGCCACGGTCATCGTCGTCGGTATCAAACCCGAGTCGGTCGCGATCGCGACTGACTCGCAGGTGATGGGGGTAAAAAATAAAAAAGGGAGGAAATGCGACGAACGCGTTTCGTGCGACGCACGAAAAAAAAAACGAAAAAAAAAAGAAGAAATAACGAGAAAAGCAATTCAATGCGCCGGCCGATCGGTCGTGCAGTGATACTGTAACAGCGAGGAGAATCGTTCCGGGGGATACCACGAGGCCCACACGGGAATCGGCTATAGCTAGCGGAGTTTTTGAAACACTTTTCTACGCGAACTACACGTCAACTGCACGGTATCCCCTATTACGATGCGACGTCAGTGATCGGGAAATCAGGGGGAAAACAGGCAGATCGCGACGTCGTGATCCGGTCGGCTCTTACGGTATCACTGCGACAATCTTGAGCGACGACGATATATAATGTCATTTATTTGCTACGCGATCGAGCGTGTTCTGGATCCGTTTATTCGGCTGCTACGTGTGTCCCGAGGATCGGGTCACGTTACTCACGTTTGCTGACGTTCACGCGCACTCGGACACGATCGAGAGATTAATGGATCGGCATCGGCCGTTCGTGCTTCCGTAATCTTAAGCCGCGAGGATCCGGAGATCCTAGTCGTTTTCCTCTCGGGGAAAAAACTTTCGATCGAGCTGTCTTCTTCTTCCCCTTCTTCTCTTCACCCCTTGTCTTCCTCCCTCTTAATCATCTTTATTTTTTAATCGATCCGCCACTATACGTACACAGTGCCAACGATCGTGTCCCAGTGCGCGCGCGGGTGTGTGTATGTGCGTGTGTGTGCATGATACATATATATGTTAAAGATGAGAGGAAGCCAGAGACGAAAGATACACGCATCTCAAAGCTCAAACAGCGGCTCGCGCGGAGGACCGATCGAGAATTTGCTTCTCCGGCGAGCTGGCGTCATTATATAAATATAAATATAAATATATATATATAAATATAAATATATACATTTATATAATTCTTTATATACATTGTACCCTCCTGATGATAATACTTAACGATAACGATATTCTATACGTTTGTACGAAAGTATAGTTATCTAAGACGAGATGATCGCCCAACGGTTCTCCAGTCTCAAAGTGTCGCGAGGCGGAAAGCGAGAGCAAAACCCGCGAGATCTTTCGGGTCTTCCCCCGGGCAAATTGTTTAATTATCCCGGTAACGATGACATCGATCGATCGATCGTCGCCCGAGAGCGAGAGCTATATGCAACGCTTTGAGACTCTGGAACTTGGGGCGCGCGTATCCTTAGTAATAATAAAAATAGAACGAATGCTATATCGTCGCACAAATACTGCGCATACTGTCTGTATTTATAATAATCGGACGAAGACGAGTCGAAGTTCGGTCTTCCTGATATCAGCGGCCCGTTAGTTCTAGTACTCGTTTATCGACTAAGCTCGTATTCTGCCCAGGCGAACAGCTTCTCGCGGAGAAACTATCACGAAACATGCGTTTTTCACTTTGTTCGCAAAGGACCTCTCTCGACTCTTGAAAGACCAACGAATATTAACCGCGGCGTATTATTCATAGAGCTTCCACGGCAACTCGATCGTGATATACAAAGTGGCCATATTGTTACTGTCACTATCTTCCGACTTGAACGAAACGAATCTTCCACATCGATAATAAACGATTGACACACGTATGGAGCGCTTTTGTTTGATGTCGTAACCGGTATAAAGAAGGGAAAAAGAAAGAGGAAGGAATGATCGGCGCTTCGACATTCGCGCGCGATTTGAGGTAAAGTCGACTCAAAAAGTACATCGTGAGCGAAAGTGATGCTGATAAGGCGAGAGTGCGGCGGGACACTCTGTGTATTTTCGCGACCATCTCGTGCGTTCGACTAGATCGAGATGAGAGCATATCAGCATGTCATAACTCTCAATTAGCTGACGATTGGGGAAAAGAATACGCGATCTCGAACTTGTCTTCCATCGCGATTAAGTTCATCGTCCCGGCGCGTGCCCTTCGTCTAACGTTTCGCGACACGCGGGGTATCTTGGATAATTTGCTCAAGGCTCATTGAAAGTTACGCGACTGATAATTAGAACGACGCGTAAAATCGATCATCGATGCTTGCGTGCGCGCCGGTCTCGCCGGCATTTTCTGCGCGAGATGCGCGAACAGTCGGTTATCGCGGCTCGTCGCTTGAAACAGATTCGAGTCAGTTCTTTCCAAGCCAATTGGTCTGTACTTTTTAGCTGAACTGGTCGCGCTAGTTGAAGAAATTTACATACACATTGAAGCGTATGGAGCGTACGTGCGAGATTCTCACGCTGCGTTTGCGTAAATTTCGTGAACTAGCGCCGCCGGTTCAGTTAAAAGGAACGGAGCAAATATAATCTAGCGATTATAGTCCGAACCTAGTATTTATCTTGATATCCAGCCCTTCACTCATAGCGAATAATATTACCGAAGGTAATGAGTGTCGAGTGTTATATCGAATAAGTACGATATTATGATATGCATATAGCTGTAACGTAAGGTATATGACCATGGTGAATACATAGTATGTGCATGTAATAAACTCTTGTCGTAGTCGGGAGGCAGCGAAGTGTTCGTGGGACACTTTTCCGGACTTGCGCAACTGCATTGTTATATAAACGCATATACGCATTGTACTTACGCACAGAGAGCGACCGAATTCTGCCCACCGACGTCGTACGCCTTCGCACAAGCCGTTGCAAACGTATTCGCGCGATCGCGTCTCCGACATGTTTCACTTCACCGCAGAAATATCCGGCAGGAACGCGGAACTGGAACGGTTTGAAGTTGGTCGCACGAGTGCGTAACTCAATAAGCGTCGCGCGTCGTCAGTACGTAAAGATACTCATCAATCCCCCGCGCGATGGACATCCCGACGTTTCTTTTTATACGTGAATACGATCGTAACGGCTGCTATCGCGCCCTTATTCCGCATTATACAATTTGATATCGTTCGCCGCGTATTATAATAAATATGTGATAAATGGAAATAAACGAGAGCGAGCCGGGAGTTTCCCGGCGGTGCCGACTGTACGGAAGTAGGCTAGGTTTGACAGTACGTGCTAGTATAAAGTGTCCTTTTATATGAATAAAAGATTTTGTATGTCAATTCATGCGTCTCGTCTTCACCGCCATGCAAACATCTATTATTCCCTGGTTTGCTTCTCTTCGCGATGAAACTGGTTGTCTAATGAAAAAGTGATCCCCCCCCCCCAGACAACACGATATCCAAAATCGAGACATAAGACGTCTTTAAGATATCTTTCAGACGTTTTCAAGATATCTTAAAGACATCTTATGCCCCGATTTTGGACATTGTGCCGTCAGAATACCGAAGGTTATAATCATATTTACCGTAATAAATTATGATGTTACTAATCGATTAAACGTGAAATTAAGTTGATATTTCGTGTCATATAACTCAGCCAGAGTTAAACAGTTTTGATTTTCTACGAAGAGTGCTACGAGTTCTCAGGACTGATCGGACAGGAAGAGACGGAGATGTTTAGAAGGTATAATTTTAAAAGAGTTCGTTTCTTAATGTTCCGATGTTACGAATATCAGGCGGTTCGCGTTCCGACGTTCCGGGTTTAACGTTTCGTAGTTCAGATTCGACAACGGTTACGAACAAACATGTTGTAACCTGCTCTTCTTCCTTTCGCCACAGGTTTAATTAAGATATTAACTACAACGTATAAAGAGCATATTGTGGAGATTAATGCAGAACGATGTAAAGAAGATCAAAGAGGAGTCCCAAAAGTAAGTTATATTTTTCTAGAAGCTAGGAAATCTCTTATTTTCTAGAAGGTGTAAAATCATGCATTTTATTGACTGCAGTGTATTCTGATAATTTTTTTTTTCTCTTTTTTTAAATACTCGGCAAGTTTACAATATTTATATATAGACTCTGAAAAAACTCACGAGAGATTTCTAGATTACCTAATGAAGGTTAGACATTAGGCCATAAAGGTTAACGCATTCTTTGGCAATAAAGCATCGTTCAGTCAGAAAGAGATAATATTTCTGGATTATTTATGGCTTAAACTACCTGGCCAAGATAATTTTCAGAAAATTTGATGAAGCCAGGAATGTTCCTAGAGGTACAGTGTTGGTAATGTGTGTTTTGACGCCTGGTGGCGTTATTTTACAGTGTTCGTGCCAAGTGGAAAAGTATCGTGTTCTTGAAGTTTTCAGCAAAATACGTGAAGGAATCATTGTCAACGAGCGATGGAGGCTGGTGCGAGTACAGGTACTCGTACAACGCGATTTATGATGGAAGGTGTCGGCGCCCGAGTGATTCGTGGGCCGGAATGGAAATGGGGAAAACAGGTTAGGATGAGAGGTTAACTGCATTAAATATAAGTTTTTCGATGTAACACCATGCTCCTTTCCCTTTTGATTATTTGTAATAAATACTTACGCCTCTCCTATTTTTTACACCGACGATTTGGTGATTTTTTGTAAAAAAATAATATCTGAAAAGGAATAATTTACTTTGCTATAAGGTTATTCTGTAGACATTGTTTATTGCATTGATATTCTCTACTTGATTAGATTGTAAATGTATTCTTACCTCTTTATCGAATTCGTCATTGGACTTTACTGTACTATATAGAAAAGTATTTATGATTTTTTGAATGAACAATAATTGTATTGTGTATAGTGACAGTAACATGTCCACTTTTAATGATATATGACTGATATATATATATGCGGACATATTGTCAGAAAATCTCTTTGCATAAATAGCAAAACTCTAAGAATATTTGATTATTATTACATAATTGTATGTGTTTGAAAGGATGGCGGAGAAGGTCATGTTGGTACTGTCAGGAACTTTGAATCTCCAGAAGAAGTTGTGGTTGTATGGGATAATGGTACAGCGGCCAATTATCGTTGCTCCGGAGCATTTGACTTGCGTATACTGGATTCAGCACCAACTGGAGTGAAACATGATGGGACGATGTGTGATACCTGTCGCCAACAACCTATTTTTGGGATTCGGTGGAAGTGTGCTGAATGTGGCAATTATGATCTTTGCTCTATCTGTTACCATGGAGACAAGCATCATTTGAGACATAGATTTTTCCGCATTGCTACACCAGGAAGCGAGAGGGTTTTGCTGGAACCTCGAAGAAAAAGCAAAAAGGTATGAAATAATGATTGATAACCTTATTATTTAAACTGTATTTGTTACATTTTTTTTGAAATCAATATCTTACTTTAGATCGCAATTCGTGGCATATTTCCTGGTGCAAGAGTTGTACGTGGCGTAGATTGGCAGTGGGAAGATCAAGATGGTGGAAATGGTCGGCGGGGTAAAGTTAATGAAGTGCAAGATTGGTCTGCAGCTAGTCCACGCTCAGCAGCTTATGTTATTTGGGATAATGGTGCCAAGAATTTGTATAGAGTTGGTTTTGAAGGAATGGTTAGTATTATGTTGTTATAACATTTACACATGTTATAACAGTTACACGACGAATTGTATACTAACTTATCTTCTTTTTTCGTGCAGGCGGATTTGAAAGTTGTCAATGATGCAAAAGGACAAACGGTGTACAGAGATCACTTGCCATTACTAGGTGAGCAAGGTCCAGGTAGAACAGGACCTCACGGTCTCCAAATTGGTGATCAGGTGAATAATTCATTTTTTGTGATATTTCTGTTATATATATGGAAATTATATGAAATAATACATTTTCTTTTCATATTCGTAGGTTAATGTCGATTTGGAATTGGAAATTGTACAATCGCTACAACATGGCCACGGAGGTTGGACAGATGGGATGTTTGAGTGTCTCGGCACTACAGGAACAGTCGTTGGTATCGACGAAGATCATGATATCGTTGTATCTTATCCAAGTGGCAATCGATGGACTTTTAATCCGGCTGTGCTTACCAAAGTCCAGATACCTGTGCCTGTTACTAGCTCAAGCTCCGATAATCAGACATTTGCAGTTGGAGATTTGGTTCAAATATGTAATGATATAGAAAAGATCAAATTACTTCAACGTGGGCATGGGGAATGGGCCGAAGCAATGGCCCCAGTAAGTGTTTTAATATACTAAGTGTATGAAACATATAATTCTAATTACTTTTATGTCACATATTTAATTTTGTACAATTTTTCCAGACTTTGGGGAAAATAGGACGAGTACAACAAATATATCATGATGGAGACTTAAAAGTGGAAGTTTGTAGTACATCATGGACATATAATCCCCAAGCTGTTACAAAAGTTGCCAGTAGCGACGGAAGTGTACAAGGAAATAGTAGTGGTGGTAAGCAAGAAGATGAATCATTGATTAATCATTCTGTTAGTTATATGCTGGCTTTAATGCGATAATAATAATATATGAATGAATACACCTGATTCAAATCATAACACTGTTTTGTTTTCCAGAGCGGTTATCGGCACTATTGAAGAAATTATTCGAAACGCACGTCTCGGGTGATGTTAACGAAGAATTAGTAAAAACTGCAGCAAATGGCGACGCTGCTAAATGCGAAGAATGCTTGAAACGGCCAGAAGCCGATGTGAACGGTGTATTCGCTGGTCATACCGCTTTACAAGCAGCAAGTCAAAACGGTCACCTAGAAGTAATCAAAATACTCCTCCGGTATAAAGCGGATGTAGAGATAGAGGTCAGTTTTTTTTTTATAGCGAATGATGATACCGACATTATATCGGAGTATATTTGAGACATTTTCTTATACTATGTGTTTTTGCAAAAACAGGATAAGGATGGTGATCGAGCCGTCCATCATGCCGCTTTTGGTGACGAGCCGGGAGTTATGGCACTTCTCGCTGGTGCCGGAGCCGATCTAAACGCTCGAAATAAAAGACGTCAAACTGCTCTTCATATTGCAGTGAATAAAGGACACGCTGGCGTAGTGCGAACCTTGTTGGAGCTAGGATGTCATCCGAGTTTACAGGTGAGTGCATGCAACTTATATCGTATATTCACACTAACATTCTCAGCGTTCGTTTTCAGAATGTTGTACGCTTGTTAAGTGTATGTGTGTATGTGTTTGTTATATATTATCCAACTTGAAAACGCGACTGTATCGGATAATATTAAACACATTTTATACATGCAATAAAAAGTGTTTTGATTGTACGACGCTGCGAATAATAGTGTTATTATACTTCCGTTAATGTTTTTACTGCGCCGCAGTGTATTAAAGGTTTATTAACATTTACGGGGAAAATGTTACACACCGGGCTATTGGCATTGTTACATATAGATTAAACAGCAGTTCCGTTTATACGGTCACGAAGTAAATCAACGACTTAGAAAACCGCGGGTTTATTGTAGGAGATTGTACCGGAATGAAATCTCGTGAAATATAACCGTAGACGGAGGTTTCAGTGGTGGGCCACAAGGGAGGATAGAGGGTAGAGGGAAGGGGTTGTTTATTTTATTCTTGAACTGTCTGAACGTGATATATTTGTAGTATTCCACCCTCCAATGATTTATGCCGGTGCAACTGCGTAAACGAACACCTCCTACTACTACCCCTTTTCCTCTTTCTTTCTCAACATTTCGCTTCATTTTCTTTTTCTCATGCCGTTTCCGACACTACATGATTCTTTTCTGAACATATAATTCGATAATACGGCGGCTTATAGCTCATAATTTGTATCCTGAAATATAATTCTTTCGAGCCTTCAATCTTTTTAATCCTCTACAAGCTGTAAGAGCAGAACGTAGGAAAGTATATCTACGAGCTCAACAATTTTACAGGTACATTCTACATTTCAAAGTTTGCATAAATAATGTTACGATGCGCGGTGGTCTTATACGAGTGTTTTTTGTTCTCTTCCTGTTTGCAAGCGATTTTTACAAAGTCGAATGTGGAACGATAAAGCGACTTGCTTCGAATAAGGAAAATAAATTTGGATTCGACACGTGAAAAAGATGTAATAAGGGTAAAAGGAGCGGAGAAAGAAAGAGAGAGGGTGGGAGGAGGTTAGAAGCGAAACGGTGGGTGGAGGAGAGAGGAGTATGTGGCGTCGAAGAAGGAGGGAGATTCCAATCAGGATATATCGGCATATATATTACCTTCCTTGCCTCGATATTTGAGAGCGGAGCCTGCAGGGCTGGCGGGTATAACCGCACGCAGCTGTATTTTATTATTGATGGCCCCGGGGATGCTTGTGAATTTTCCTCGCGTTAAACGGTCAACTGTGCGGACGTTCACTGATACCGCAGATGCTTAAAGTATTGACACGATACAATCCCATTTTCCCATCTCACGCCGCGAACTACTACGTCTGATATTTGTATTCTCGCTCCTCTCCTTTTTCGCTTTTGAGATCGCTTCTCGAATGTCTCGCGTAAAGCAGCGCGGTAGCGTGCCGGCGTGCTTGCTCGCCGTTACTTTAGTTCGAACATTTTTCATCGCTTTTTAATACCCGCCCGGTATCCGCGCACGAGCGTCGGGATACGCGAATGTGAATTAGTGTTAATTCACCTTTGTTACACGGGTATCTCCTCATTTGCAGGAGACTTAATTAATTCAGTTATCTGCCTCGAGGAAGCCTCGAATTCCACCTGCGTTACGAGTGTCGCGGGATTGTGTTTGAGAATACGTGTTGCGCATAATCAAGGCGCTCTGTGTGTATATTTGGCGCTCCAGCAATGGGGTATAACATCGCGGATCCCTATTTTCCTCCGAAACAATTCGAACCTGAAGACAACTAGAAACGTTTTCTGCGATAAACAACATTTACGTGCTCGGCATACATCGACCATCGCTATTTTCCCGTCTTTTCCGTCCCGTTCTTTTTTCTACCGAAATTACTTACTTCACAGTCGCTGGATTTTCTTTGTTTTTTTTTTAATTTCAAGGATTTTCCGCGTCGTTTTACCCCAGAAAAATATATTACGTAATTTCTGAGCGAAATAGCTATCCCCCCCCCCGAAGGGGCGGATAGTTTATCGAAGGCGCAGGAATATTTGTCGGCATCTCTTAGAGCGTTAGAGCATTAGAGCATGTAAGTAATTACAGTAAATTATCGCGGAAGCTTTTTCTTCTCATAACGCTCGCCAACGGCTGAGAGAAGTAATTAAGAAAGTTAGGCAATACCCTCCTCATTTTCATAATCACCGCACAAAATGGTATAAATTAACAGTAAACGTAAATCAACGATGTTTTTACGCAGTACTGGGTGTATCGCGACCGTCGTGAAATACCGTTCCGTATATTTCATCGGGCCGGGGGGGCACGAGGTTCGCGAAAATATGCTTGCATTAGCGTTCGCAGAATTACGGTTTCGCGTCTGTTTCTCTTCTTGGCTACGCTCGTAGACCGCACTTAAACAACCGGCATTTGCATAATTGCACTTTTTAAGTGGTTGGAACTTCTTAAATGAGAGATTACGGCGGAAGTACATTGTCGAATCCAAAGAGCTGTATCGTTCGCGTTCTCTCTATCGAATTTTTCTGTATACCGACAGAAATCGGAAAACCATAACCTGTCGCATCACCACATCATCCTTACTCGACGTTGTGTCATTTTTGTCTCACGATAACCACGGACGCGTTCGCCGTGATCTTACTTTCCGTCACGAGAGAGTTTTCGAAAAGAAACTTTTTTCTCTCTGTTGCACACCGGCTTTCGTGTGTACTTTCGCGCGAGGGAATAAAATTTCAACGATCACGTACGTATGTGCCCGACAAGAAAGGCAGACTCTCTGGCGGCACGTGCGCGAAATTCCGACAAGTCGATTCGACAATACCCGCGTCGGAGACGGAGGGGTTGGAAGGGCGAAGGGAATTTTTGCGATCGCGCTATCATCCTGTCTGCTTCGTTGAAGGATCGGACTAATCGAAATACCGGACGTCTTGGGGTTACGTGTGTAGGTGCTCTCGATGTGTAGCAACCCTTCGTTGCTTCCGTTAAAATCGAGCTAGTCATTCTTAACGGTTTCCGCTGTTCATTTCGGGATATCCGGGGAAAAATATCGAGAGACGCTCTCAGCAATAAAGCTTTTATCTCCGATCGATCTTCCGATCGTACATCTTTTTCTCATTGTTATAGTCGCGCGAATGGAGGAGGTGAGGGGGAGGGAGGTGATAATCACGAAAATTGGAGCGGAATAATTCGTTGATGAGTTTCATGCAGTTGCCGCGATCATAGATTTTCGGGGCAACGTTTGCGTCGCGACAAGGAACCGGCTGTGCTCGCTGTAACGCAGTTGTCGGCTACGTGTATCGCGTGAATTTCATCCAATGAGGATTAATCGCTTTGGAGAAACTGCATTCTCTCGTGACGCTCTGTGCAACTCAATCTCCTCGACATGGCATTCTACCAGTCGAGACCATTCTGTTTTACGAGCACGGTCAGGACATCGCGTACACGCCATAATCGAGGCCGATTGTGTTCGTTGTATAGCCGATACTGCCGAATAAATTTATGGAATAAATTGTGCGTGATCCGCACTGCGAGACCCGATCTGTAACTTTGCTATCAAGTACTATTGATTAAAAAAGCATCTCTGTTTGATCATTTTCGGTAATTAATTATTTCAATATTTTATTTTACCCGCGTATTTAATCTTTATTCTCCTTTTCGGTAATCAACATGTTAATTATATGACTTAACTATATAGAGCAAGTAGAGAATGTGGGACAAGTAAATATTAAATAATTCATATATAGATATATATATATATATATATATATGTATAATGAGATTAACTCTGGAGTGGTTGCGTACGTAAATGCAACACGAACAGTCACGTGGATGACAAATGTCCTCCATTTTAATTTGAAATTTTCGAAAAAAATGGCTTTGGAAAATAATATTTGTTTATATAAAAATAATCACATAAAAGATCTTATTGAAAACGGACGAAAGCATTTTAATACGCATGGATGATACCTGTCATCCGCGCGATCATTGTTGGGTTAAATCGCAAACGAGCAACTCATTTTCTCTTCCATAATCCTTTTATTATTTTTTTGACGTTGGAAATTTCGATAGGAATCAAGGATTCAAAAGGGACAGAAAGTAGATAACTGTAAGGACGATAGTATTTGTGCATCCAATAATTTGATATAACACAGTAGATATTTGAATTTAAATTCGATATAATGACAAGGATGAACAAAAGTAAAAAGAAAGCATTTGCAGATGAGACTTGCAGCCCAAGGAGAATTATTAAAAACCCAGTAGATAAATTTCTGGTGTCTTTTTATTCTCAATAGATTCGTTAATCATCATTAAAATCAGAGACATCCTGTATAATAAATGAACTGACACATCCGATATATAATACATTGTTGCCCGTATCCATATTTTAACCGTTTTAGCGCCACGCAGCGCGATCGCGCTGTTCGCGTACTGCGGTGAAATGTGCCGCGATGTTTGGTCACGATCGTCAATTCGCAACGCGCTCGGTTCCGAATTTCGCAAACTTTTGAGTGTTTAGTATAACGTTTCTGATATGACTGATGAAATGAAGCGCGAGCGCGCCGAGCGGCATATTTCGACGAAAAAAAAGAGCAGCGCGATCGCGTCGATCGGCATTATTCGCAGATAAATGAACGAAGCGCTATCGCGCTGTATGGCACAATCCGACACGGATTTTTAAAAACCCCTGGCACTAAAATGGTTAAGGTTGAGGATACTAATTTATATAATAATTGTTATATTTCGAGTTTCTCTATTGACTCTTCAAGTTCGATGAAATTTGCAGGGTCAGTGTAGAACTGAAATTTCTACTTAGGATCGGGTGACATTTCTTTCAATAATCGCGTTTTTCGCAAGGGAGCTCTTGAAAATTAACCAGGCAAAATGTGTGAGCGATACATTCGCAAGTTCTTTGCTCCATCGTGCGAATAATGCATTGAATCGAACCCGGCAGTCTTTGCGCCGATGCGATCGTCTTCTATAAGGAAAAATGGTTCATTTCGACGAGAGGAGGA